AAAAAAAATGACAGCAATGACATTTGTTTGACAGTCAGCCTCAACATTTTCTGGCCAGAGAGCAAGTACGTAATGTCCTTGAGATCTCCGTTGGCATTTGTACTTCAGAGTGGTCATGTTATCTACTTTTGCAACATTTTTAGTTATTTTCTTTCTTCCCTGAGGTCCTCTTATAATGTCAGTCTAGTTGTCCTGCCTCAAAAACAGTAATGATTGAGTTTTCATGACCATTTTCCACCTTCTCTGACTCTTAAGCCCAAAGTATACTTCAGTTTTGACACAAACACTAAGCATAAGGGTGAGCGATATGACCACAATTTTATTTCACGCTAACAATATATATCTCGATATAGCTATTTGTTATTTTATTTTATTTTTGTTATTAAACTTTTTAAGCAAATTACAAACAATAGGACAAATATGATAGAACAAACATACAAATGAAACTTTTTTTAGCCACAGTAGGTTTATTAAAAATGTAATAAGAAATACTACAGGAATTGAATAGTCAAGTGTAGTCTTCACTGTATAAATCATATACAAATTGATTCTTATTAAAGATCCGAAAGTAATTCAGTCAAGAGCAGTGAGTGATTTTGATTTGTTGTTTGATTAACATTAATGACAAACAGCAGCAGGTAAATTAGACTGCTGTCCCTTCAAAACTGACTGCACTGATCCAATATACTGATACACAGTTTTCACCCAACTATTCACATTAAAGGCCTTTCCACACTGAGCGTGAAAAAGCTAAACGAATATCGGATGCGATGACGTGCTGGAATGACCCCTAGAGGACGCAGTTCGAAGTTCCCATGAAAGGGAACAATAGATTTCTATGGATGCTTCCACATAGACCGCGAACATTTGCGCACCGAAAATGCGAATGTTTTTTTTTTCGAACCAGTCCGACGAATCTTTTCAGTTTCGCAAAGCGAAAACACGGCCCGTCCAATAAGATTTGAGCATTACATCACGTGGCCGGAGCAGCTGCTCTTGCACAAAAAGTCAAGAGTGGTGGCGCTGTTTCGAAAACCAGTTTAAACTACTGTAACACAGAAGAAGAGTATCCCGAGAGAGAAGAGACTGGATGACGAGTTTTTGTTATCTTTGGTATCGGAGAACAGATTTATTCTCACATGTTCTTAATATAATTTCTATCAATTATCCACTGAATTATGTGATCTGGAGTGTCCGTTTTCTTCCACGTGCGCGAGTGTTGTGAATCAGAGCGCGTTCACTCTACATCTTCCGTATTAATATAATCGAGGGAAACATTTTTCTACACATGAAATATGAAAGCAAGTAGACATATGATTATGACGATATATTTTCTGTATGTGTTTTGTATACAGCTCATGGTATTTTTATAACAATAAAGGATGTTTATGACAATAAGCAGTGTGGTGTTATTAAACAGAGTGCATGTCAGCCTAGAATCAAAATCAACTATAGATCACAATCGGGAGTTATTACAAGCACTCGATGATGGTCTAAAGTGGGTTTTAAGCAAATACATTAATAATGACACAAATTTTCAAATGTGGCTTGATGCTAATTGTACTTCTATTTATATTTTAAGATGTTTTCTTGTAAGCGTTATAGATAGTTTGTGTTTCTGGCGTAGAACCAAACTTTATTTAGCTATATTAATTTAATACTCTATATTGAGCAGTGGACGATGTTAAATCCATATATGAGATACATATCTGAGGAAAAATGCATTGCTGGTCGGCGCCACCTAGCGTGCAGGTGTGAATTAGCAGAAGGTGAACAATCGTTTCGCACTGTTCGTCGGAGATTCGCCTCATTTTTTCGCATCGTGCTCAGTGTGGAATGACCTTAAGACACAACCGACTGTGTTCACATGATTACTCGTCACGACAGGCATTTTGACATAACTGTGTGTGTATTTGACCATTCAAGCACAGTAAGACGTGTAAGAGAACCGAATGTGTGATCACATGCTGTCTGAGAGAGACTGCTTTCTCTGTGCGCGCTTCGGGTTTATGTCAGTGCCGCGTTGAGTTAATTTTCACTGCTTACTGCACTTAATAACATTGTTTGATGTTTAAGATTCAACAAGTCCCACTCTTTACTTTCTCATTCATGCATGTTTCTTTATCACTCTTACATGTGTATCACTTTTAAGTAGTACTGTGCTACACGGATATATTTGCATATGGCGAAATAAACAATATAGCAAAATCTCAAACGATAGACACTTTATACCATTGTCACAATACTGTATATACCATCATGCCAACCAGCTCTAACAAAGCATATGTCTAAAGCCAATGCATGTTGTCAATGCAGGCAACTTTTGTTGTTGCGTCTCCAGTAGTTGGTTGTTCCATTGCTTTTTCGACTTGTGAAACAATGTCGTCACCTCGTAAACTAACCGATTAGTGCAAGAACATTCAAGGCCCTTGCGAGCTGAGTTTACAGAGTACATGTGGTTAGAAAAAATATGACCGCACATGTAGAATTAAACAGGATGTTTTTGCTACTGTACCTTTAAGATGCAGAACAACCCCCCTGACACATTGCCAAATATTGTGCAACTGTAATGTGTCAGTATGGGTGGTCATATGTTATGGAGCTTATGGTCATGATGTCATAACCACAGTTTCTGAACTAGATGTTTATGACGTTTAGTTTGATTAAATGGACTGTGCTGTGGATCACATTTATGGTGTCCCCATGATATGAATCAATCATGCAACGATTGCCTTACTGTTTTACTCTTTACTACATTATTCACACTGGTGCTGTCATCTCTTTGACTTATGGGTCATGTGGTAGTAACTCAAGTGCATTTTATCCCTTGATGTAGTTATGAGTGGTTTGTGTGTGGGACGTCAGGGACTCTGTATCCCAGGTTGAAAACCACAAACAACCTCATATTTATATCAAGTATTGTTCTGAAAGCAAAACACAACAAATCAGAAACAAACAGTGGGTTATCGCCTGCCCACCCGCTCAGTGTGGCCGATGAACGGTGGGCCATGCGAAAGGTCACTACACATCTCGATCTCTCTCGGTATCGCCTCTGTGTGCTGCCGTCGCCATTGAGGCTCCAGCTCTGGATGGGCTAAAGTGACAAATCTGAGTTGTGAATGTTAGAGTGAATCAACCTGGTGTGTTTTTCAATAATGCACCCACTTTAGTGGTAAAATAGCAGGTTTTTGTGAGTATTAAAGAACCGCCCGAGTTCATGGAGTTTGGACAGATGAGCCCCGTTCTACTCTCGCCTGTTCTCTAACCCTCTCTGTCAGTCAAGTCATCCATGTTCAGTTCATTGAAAGCAGACGTCACTCTCCCCTTCAACCCAACAGTGCCGCCCATTCATGAGCCCCCGGCAGAAACTCAATCTCCTCTGAGAACGAGCTGCGTGAAAGGAGCCAGTGTGATTGTGGAGGGCTGTCTGTCGTCTGAGAAGCGTCACTGAGATGCTGCCTGAGTGCTCTCAGCCCAACGGACAGTGGTGCCAGATGTCTGCCTCTCCCGCCTGGCCTCCCTTTGTGCACGGGGAACAGTGCCATGTCACCGCAGTTTGAGATTGTGTTATCGCTGTGTTCGGATGTGCACTGGCCAACAAGCCTACTGTATTAGCAGATACGAGCTTCTCAGATATTACGGCACATCCGTATTTCACATCTGTGGATGTTGAATAGGACTATGACAAGGGTGTCCAATCCTGCTCCTGGAGGGCCACTTCCTTCAATCTTAAACACAACTTCCTGGAAGCTTCTAGTCATCCCAAAGACCTTGATTGGCTGGTTCAGGCGTGTTTAATTGGGGCTGGAGCTGGCCCTCCGGGAACAGGACTGGACACTTTAGACCAATGTTTCCCAGCCCTGTTTCTGGAGGCACCCCAAGACTACACATTTTCAAACGCTTCCTAATCAAACACATCTGAATCATCTCATCAGCTCATTAGCAGAGACTCCAGCACCTAAAAAAGATCGGTCAGATACGAGAGACATCCAAAAGGTGTATTGTTGGGGTTCCTCCAGGAACAGGGTTGGGAAACACTGTTCTAGACGATATAGCATTGAGTTTGATGGATGTTGAATGTGTTTTCAGCAGAGTCGGAGCTTCCAGATCAACACCTTTTTGATGTTGAGCCTGAGTCTGAGTCACTTTGATGTAGGGGTGTGCGATATTTATCATCTACGATAATATCGTAATCGTTGTTTTAACGATATGCGAGCTGACCTTATCAAGTCATTCAATTTGCAAAAAAAGTCCAAAAGCATTGACTGCGTAATGAAGCCTATTAATGCAGTAAAAATGTCCATCTAATTCAAGTTACGAAAGCAAATAATATCCCTGTATTGGTTTTTGGTTTTATAAGATATGATATAGTGAAGTAATATATGCAAGAGTGCCATTTTCCTGAATATCAGCACGTGAGCGTGATATTGATTCAAAAGTGTGATATTGATTTTATACAACGGTTCAACAAACAAGAAGTTAATATTGAGTGAGTTACATTTTAGACTCAACGTTGTCTGTTCTTTCTGTTTCGCCAACGAAAATAGTTCCAAACAAAGCCGGATCAGAACATTTGTGCATCTGAGAGCAACACTGCAGCGTTTCGTTCCTGAATGAATCTGTTTTTGAATGAATCATTTGAGCCAATGATTCAGTAATCCGTTCATAAAGACATAATTCACTTGCTTTGTTTCTAAATGAATCAGCAGTTTTGAATAAATCGTTTGTATTAATGATTCAGTGAATGACTCATTAAAGGGACATGCCGCCACCTACTGGTGGTGTTAGTGTCATATTTATTTTGCCACGACATTCCTAAACGAGCCAAGGTACCAGCACAAAACTCACTCTGCAAAATATTGTTTAATTATTGTTATCCAAAAAATGTTGAGGTGTCATTTTTTGTCAATATTATATGACACACCCCTACTTTGATGTCACTGATATTATGGTGCCAGTTTGAAGACTTAATTACACTTTTTTGTTTTTGTTTTTGACAGGTTCTTGACAATTACGAGCGAGAAGGTTTCCAGTTCCTCGCGAAGGTCTTTAACTCATCCCATTCCTTCCTGGAGGATCTGACGGGCTTGACTTTACTCCATCAGGAGACTCAGGCAGCTGAGGTTAGACTCATCATCTGCATCACCCTGTGTGTGCTCACAGTCACATTCAGATCAGAGCCAACGATTACTGACAAGTTCATGATTACTGTCAAAAACTGTTCTTTTGGCCTGTGCCATCCGGTGACAAAAGCTGTGTGCATTCATTATTAATTGATCAGATCCACTTGCACATGTACACTTGGAAATATACTATGCACAGATGGTTATAGATGAAACAGCCTTTAAGTCCTGTAACCGCTAGTCCACACAAGATTGTTCAGAGATGAGTGAATGATGAATGATCTGTTCAATATCAGCTCAGACACTAAAGCTTACGGCACATTGAGGAAATATGATCAGGCTGATTATTTTAAAAAGAAAAAGAGGATCTCCATTGAAGCATTGAGTTTCTGTCGGCCACAAAGGCTGTTGACCTGACATATGGTGAACACACACGACACGATCCAGAGCCCACCGCACAAAACTCACATCAAACATGGCCAGTCAAGCCTCAGACTGGCTTATCTGATCATTATTATTTAATATCTGTCTGTACGTTCATGAATATGTTGCAGCTACATCAGTCAATATCTGCAAATTCATAAAGGTTTCTGATGAAGTTTATGCTTTTAGTAGACACTTTTATCCAAAGCGATTTACAATAGAGGAACAAAAGCGATTCCTAACAGAGCTGACAATATATATACGTATATATATATATATGTATATATATATATATATATATATTATAAACATGGCCAGTCAAGCCTCAGACTGGCTTATCTGATCATTATTATTTAATATCTGTCTGTACGTTCATGAATATGTTGCAGCTACATCAGTCAATATCTGCAAATTCATAAAGGTTTCTGATGAAGTTTATGCTTTTAGTAGACACTTTTATCCAAAGCGATTTACAATAGAGGAACAAAAGCGATTCCTAACAGAGCTGACAATATATATACGTATATATATATATATGTATATATATATATATATATATATATTATATAATGCCAGATTCATTAGACAACTGGATTAGGAAGCAATATAGAGAAGAGACCTTCAAAGAACATATTAAAATAAGTAAAAAATGGCCCCTTTAAACTGTCAGTCATTGCACAGGAATCAACTTTTGAGGATGTGATATCAATCAAATCTGTGTAGATGCATTAGTTACTGAAATTTAGTGTATGCGGGTATATATTGTAATTTATTAATGTGTATTAAGATGCTGTAACCAATAAATAATGAATGTGATTAAATAATATTTTCCCATGAACTCGAGAACTATAGAAATAGAATTGTACTGAATTTTTTTTTTTTAGGTTTAGGTTGTAGTTCTGGAAAATGGTGGCGCTGGAGACTAAAGGCTTCCTGATGGTTTCACGCCTAATTCTTCACCTTAATTCTTAATTCTTTTGCAGTTAACATGCATCTTTTCTTCTCCACCTGTTTTTTCTGACCCTGCTGACCCACTGAGCATTTCACTCTCCAATGGTCATGCCTTAACTTTGCAAATTCTAGTATTGCATCCTTCTCATGGCCATTTAACCATTTTTGACTTTGTCATTTTTTAGACATTTTTTTTGCCTCATTTTATCTTTTAAAGAAAACCTGCTTAATAATTATGCACACCTGAATATAAGGCGTTTTTCACTTCCAGCCTTCATGAATAATTGTATATCATTTATACATGATTAAAGACTAAATTAATAGTAGTTATTTAGATTGATGTGGTTTGGAATTGGTCAAATGTGTTTGGGGAAAAAAAAAAATGATCAGAATATCAACGTGGCTAATAATTATGCACGTATGTATGTATTTATTGATGTATAATGTCTTAATATTCCCCAAATCTTGCAGAGGACCATGAAATCCTAATTTTGGACTAAATCAGCATATATAAAACTTTAATGATTGCAACACAAACGTCATTGAGAAAACTACTCCAACCCAAATACTACATTTGTAATTCTTCCCGCTCAAAAAGTTATAATAGCTAATAGCTAAGTTAAATAGCCATAATGCAGTCAGTTCTTGCTGTTCCTGGCTCCCGTCCCAAACTTCACTTCGACTTGCTCTGGAGATCATGTGTCCCAGAAATATCTCCATACACTCCTGATCCAGGAACAGTTTTCATCAGTTTGCTCCGATCTCAGTCTCTCTACCCCATCGAGCCAAACGTACCCAGGAGCAGGGTTTTGATTCTGGGAACGGTCCCTCGCCGGGACTCTCCAGTGACAAACACAGCCAGTTTGAAACTGTGGGAAAGTCCCACATCAGCAGTCCTCTGCTCTCCAGAGCGGTTTAGAGATGCAAACGAAGTCCAACCCAAAATGAGAGGATATGTGCTCCTGCATTTGCCCACACTTATTGTCTGAAGCCTTCAGATTCATTTCACTTGGATCCGCAGTCAGGCGCTTTATATTCCCATGTTGACGTCTTGTATTTTTAACTTCAGCTTCAGGATTGATGTCAAACTGTGAAATGAATGGAAATGCACCACTTCTAGTTTGGAAGTGGTGGTTTTGTGTGTCATTAGTGTGGGGAAAGACACGTCTCTCATTACTTCTGGACTGTTTGATTCAGTGGGATGTTTTCTGTGGAAACGACTTGCAACTCGACGCTTTAAAATGTGTCTATTTTCTTTGACATTTTCCATGAATATGGTGCACTTTGGTGTCCCACAAGTTTTTTTAAGCATTAGAGACAGAAATAATATGTTGTTTACGTGAGAACAGTTTGATATGTTTTAAAATGAATCTAGCATAAAACGTTTTAAACCCGTGAAATATCTGTACAACCACCACCACCCCACCCAAAGGCTCTTGAATGAATCTTAAAATATATCGAAACGCTTAAAATCATACAGGAACATCATAATGAATAAGTAAATATTCAGTCCATTTTTGAGGAGCAGCTTTTTTCAAATTATTAACTTTTTTTTTTATAATGTTTAACTCTATTGACACCTTTTTTTATCACTCAGAATAAACTGTATTTAGACATGGATATAATTTTGGTAATAGGGTTGCAAATGCATAGAAATTAAGGGCTCATGTGATAATTTGGTTCTGAAGTTTAAGCACTTCCTTCCACTGACCATTTGATGAAAAAAAGGGGGAAAATTACTTGTTTCAGCACCGTGTTTTGCCCTCTATTCATTTATATGCTGTTTTCAACATGCTTGATTTTGCTATAAGAGCACAATATGAGTGAAATTGCATAATTATGTGCTCTTGTGAAACTCAGTGGACATAAACAACATCATCCAATCAGCTGATGAGCTTCAGGAAAGCTGTTCTGTGCTTAGATCATGAAGTTAACCATGATAGGGCTTCAAACAGACTCACATCAGTCGATAGTTTATGTGTAGAACAAATCAATTAAATGTCTATAAAACAAAAAATAAAACTTTTTAAACTGCCGGTGTTCGTCAAAACCTCTAGCGAAAGCCGCTTGAATATTCACGGAGGTTCAATTAGGCTTAAAGTCTGAAGGAATGACTTTTTAAGCATGTTTAGACCTGATAATCAAGCGTCAACATTCACAGCCCATTTCTGCAAGTAGACTTCCATCTTTTCTTTCTGGAATGATTCCAGACCCGTGACTTTCAGAGGAGAACTTGTAGAGCTGCACAATTACTTGACAGATGAATTGAGATTGTGTTTGTATTAAGGTTATGTATTATATGTGACCCTGGACCACAAAACCAGTCTTAAGTGTCAATTTTTCGAAATTGAGATTTATACATCATCAATAAAGAAACAAAGTAATAATTACACTCATATTATGAATAGAAATTATAGACATGCATTGCAGTAGCTTAATTGTCAGCCAATTATATTACAAATATTATACAAGTTAAATATATATAATAAATATTACAAAGCAAAAAAAGGTTGAGAGAACTTACCCGTTGTTTGAAATGGTTCTTTTGTCTGCCTTCAAGTCGAAAAACAGCACACTCTATATCGAAGTCTCGGCACGATCGGAGCTGTTGTCTGTGGTTTACCATTTATATGCGAGTGTTGTACACCACCCATGTTATACAAACTTTGTTATAAGCAGTAATTTAAAGTAGCTCTGTATAAATGTAAAAAATAGTGTGTTCATATATACTGTAGTAATGGCAATTGATAGTGTAAGAGATAAAGATCCTACTTATCCTGGTAGCCGTGTAAAGATTCAATGAAACATGAATCTACACTGGACTTTAAGACATAAAACCTCACCACATGCCACCACTGATATTGTGTGCATCATGTTGTCAAGCTGGAGCTTCGAGTCAAGCTTTTTGACTTTTCTCAGTAGGTTAGACTCATCTTTAGTGAGTTTTGATGCTGTTGCTGTTCATTTCTTACCAGCTCACGAGACACTAGGCTGTGTGATATTGTTGATCCTGCTGCACTGCTGTATTTGTGCATCATTGCTGTGGGGATGCAGCGAGTGCTGTTATAATATTTGGATGCTGGACTCACACAGGCGCTCCTCTGTTGAAGGCGTAGGTAGGGAAGCAGTTTTGGGGTGATATTTTCCGTCCCCCCGCTGAAGGAGTGTGTACTCAGAGCTGTGGGTTGGAGCGAGCGAGTCCCTCCAAGTGAATGATGGGAAGAAATCCATCGTTTAACCCACTGGACTGGAAGAGCAGCACAACCTACACATGGAGACAGAGAAAATGAAAAAAGAGGCATCCGTTCAAGCTCCTGTGTAGAACTGAGTTCTTAAGCGTTCAGTCAGTTTAAACATAACAAGAATGATTTGTGAAGGATCAGGAGTAATGATGCTGAAATCATCAGCTTTGATCACGGCAATCAGTTATATTTTAATATATATCCTCATAGATATCAGTTATGTTAAATTGTATTAATATTTCACAATTTTACTGTTTTTGATAGAATAATGCAGCCTTGATTTTTGATTAGTAGTCTATATTACATTTATAGAATCATTTTAATGAATGTAAAAAGCAATGCATTGAGATTTTGTGAACATATTTAAGTGATGATGCAAAGAAA